TAGGGCCAATTTTGATGAAGGTACATGGTTGAGATAAATATAACACTGAGCATGAAGTCATTGACTAGAAGAGTCCCACATGCCCTGCATGGCTTGTGGTCCTGTCCCACCTCATCAGGGGGTTGGCTTGCCCTGCTGATAACTCATTTTTATATTCTGTTTCCATCTGCCAATGATTGCTGTTGTGTCCCTGTCTTTCAGAGAGATATGCCGAATTTCTAAACCTGATTTTTCTGTGTGGGCAAAAACTGATTTTTCTGTGCAGGCAGTTCTGAGCATTCATCAGATCCTCTTTTAAACTGAAAAAAACCCATTGAATACCAAAATGCATCAATTTGACTTCGGACTGAATTTTGTACTTGAAGTAGTTTATGCTGTTTCTCTAAATTTTGTCTGTGAGCACTCAGAGCCTTTTCTGATCTCCTCTCCAAGAGCAGATGCCCGCTGGGACTGTGCCTGGCTAGCCCCTGATCCACTTAGAGCCAGAGGCTGATGAATTCCCACTAATGTGCAAACTTTTCCCTACTGGCAGTTAATCCATTATTATTTGCTTAGAAAAGTCATTGTGGGGCTGCTCCCTGGGGAAGCTCCTGGATGACCCCTCCAAGCTGGGACTGGCTTTTTCCTTCCTTGTCCATGGGAAGTTGTTGAAGGAGCTCATGGAGAACTCCCAGGACTGCCCATGCTCCTCACTCCCATGCCCCCTTTGCACCCTGTTGGTGCTGACAGGCTCCTAAACATCCCTGACTCCTGGTGCTACAATTACAGCATCAATTAATTAACTTCATTTGCAAAACATGCAATTCCCTGGATCCCTAGTAAACGCTTGCTCAGGGGAGAGCAAAGAGCTGGAATTTTTTGACATCAGCAGATATATCGAGTTTTTGACAACCACCTGAATTGCCAAAATACGTGTCAAGAGCAGTTTTGATAGCTATAATCAAAGTATTTGAGTTTCCAGTGATGCCTTCTGAGTGTGACAATGTCCTCCCACGAGGACACTGTGCCTGGGCAGCTGTGACATCGCTGCTCGTGGGCAGGGCTGTGCTGAGCTCAGCCACAGCCATTCCCTCGGAATTTTTAATTCCTTGTAAAAGCCCCTGCTGGTCAGAGCAGGAGGGAAGGGATGCTGTGGGTGTGAAGGGAGGTGTTCTGAGGCTTTGTGCTGATGGAAGCTGCTCTCTCCCAGGTGGACAATGCCAAGGATTTCCTGTCCATGGGTGGGCTCCGGCTGGTGATCGAGGGGCTGAACAGCAGCGAGGCCTCGCTGAAGGAACATGCTGCCTTCGTCCTGGGAGCTGCCCTGTCCAGGTGAGACCTGCCCTCGGCTGGGGTCTGTGCCTCTCTCCACCTCCCTTGGTTTATTTCTGATAACAGAGACCAAAAACTGTGTTGTGACACACCACAAAACTGTCTTGTCCCCTTCCTTGCCCTTGCAACACCCATTTCCCCTTCTCCTCAGTGTGTCCTTATCTTGCTCATTGGACACATCCAGAAGTAATGTGGTGTCAAATCTATGATTGTTTCTTGGTTTCCCTGGGCTCCCTGTTTCTACAATGTCCAAGGGGGGAATAATTCTCCTTCTGTCCCGTTGACAGCTCTCTCTGGGCAAAGATGTGACAGAGGGTACAGTGCTTGTAACTGTACAAGCACCAGTGAGCACCTTTGTCCTTCCTCATCCTTGCTCCTGGGCTGCTTCAGGATGCCAAGGTGCTGATTTGAGCAGCTCCCGTGGTCTTTAGAGAGAGATCTGGGCCCCATGGACACGTGCCTCTGACATCAAAGGCGTGTTGATTAGATGTGGGGTCAGGAATAAGGGTCAGCAGCCAGAATCCAGAGGAGACTGACCTGCAGAATGTTTGAGGTTCAGGGGAAGGAGCCTGCTCAGCCTCATCCTGGGGCTGCAGGAGGTATCCTGTGGGCTCCATGGGTTTTCCTGGTGCCCCCTTTTTGATTTATGGGTTTTGGGGCTTTGCAGGGGATGTGTTGCTCATTCAGAGGTGCAGAGGCTTTAGAAATGCATTGGATGGACTCAAACTTCAGGATGAGAAGTGCAGAGTGAAAATTGAAGGTCAGGACTGTTTTATCTGCATATTTCTACACCTAAAAATACAGTCACCTTCTCCAGCATCATAAATTATTTATGGCTTAGTCTAACACATGGTGCACAGACCTGCATTTACTTGGCAATCTCATATGCAATGCAGTTGGCCCTCAGCGTGCGTGGAGGGATGGGCCTCGTGGACAGGAGCAAGTACCCAGGTTTATACCAGGGAAGGATCCAGCTTCTGGTCTGAAACAGAGCCTGACTTAGGGATGACAGGAAGATACATGAGAAACAAAACCTGCTCTTCATATTCTGGTGTATCTTTGTCTCTGAAACAATACCAGAGTGGTTTGCTCAAGTTCTTTATGTAGACTCTTTCTGCATACAGAGAAGATCATGCAGAGGGTCTGGAAACATTTGCAGGTAACTTATGAAATTACAGGGGCTGCTAAAGAGCTTCTTTCCAGATGTACCTGCCATGACATGGCCAGGAGTCCAAAAATTCATTGTCTCATGGTGCCTGACAGTGTAGCAGTGGCCACGAGAGTCACACTTTTGTGTAGTGTTTCTTACTCAAGTGCAAAAATCTTCTTTGGAGAGAGCCTCTCATCTGATATGACAACATTAAACTGCTGCTTTGCAAACTTGTGGACCTTTTTTCTTTGAAGGACGTTCTGGCAGATGGTAATTTGGAGTGGTTTGGATGATACATTGTCTGAGAGCTCTGCTCCAAAATGTGAGGGATATTATGCCTTGGTTTGAGTTTGCTTTTTTTCCCCTTGCTGTGCTTAAGCTTTCTCAGTAGACACCTACATGCCAACTTGTCTGCTGTGTGCTCACTTGTTTAATTCGTTTGTTCATACATTTTCTCAGCTTACTCCATGCTCTAGTTAAACTGTTGGGGGCATTTCAGGTACTTCACACAGCATTTTGTGTTTTTCTGAGGGCTTGTTTTTTATTTCCTTCCCTCATGGTTGTTCCTGAGAGCCTTAGAGAGGTGGTAGGGCTTTCCAGTAAATTCCCAGAGGTGTCACAGCTTGCTGGGGTGCAGGGACATGATCTGCTCTGTGCTTGTGTGCCTGGGGCTGTGTCAGATCCTGTGCTGGATGCTGAGCCCGGGAAGAGGCAATGGTCTGCTGCTCACCAAGTGGGTCTGTGGCCACCTCCCAGGTCTCTTCAGCCAGGCTGGCTCAGGCCAGTGGTTTCAAGCCAGGCAAACATTCCCAGAGGGAAATCAGGGCATGATGAGAGCATCTCCAGAGCCTGGCACAGGAGATCAGTAACTCCTGGCACAGCTCAGTCTGGAAGAGGGAGTTTGGCCTTGTCTGTAGACAAGTGTTTAACACAGGAGGAAACCACTGGACACAGAGTGATTCCAGACATGCCTGGGACACATCCAGAACATTTCAGCTCTCAGAAATACCCAGATCTTCTCCAGATTTGCACTGTCCTTAACTGTGCTCAGGTAGTCAAGCAGGTAAGGGAGAGAACAAACAGCTGCAGCCCCCAGGTCCTGCCTGCACATGGCCCTGCCAGGACCTGGCTCAGAGCTCTGGCTGTGCTGGGAGCCCATTGGAACAAAACGGTTTTCCAGGGGATCAGCATCTTGAGCCAACAGGCCAGGGGGCTGGCCAAGACTTGGATCAGCAAAGGCAGCAGGAGGAGAAGGCACAACAGGGCCAGCTCAGGATTTCCCCTTCCTGATATTATCGCTGCTATTTATTTGGCTTAAAGCAGACTTGAAAAGCAGCCATAGCACAGCATGACTGGGACCTCAGGGCACAGGGTCCCAGGTCCAGCTGCCAGGGTCTGACCTCCTGGCATCCATCTGCCTCTGGGAGCCTCTGCCATAGGAGAGGCAGATATCTTCAGTTGACAGGGAGGAAATCAAGGTTTCATCTCATGTTTCTCTTATATGTCCTTCACTTCAGGCATTTGGGTTTTAATTGCTGAGTCTGTGACCAAATCAAACATCATTCCATCTGGTGGGGTTCTCTGAGCAGTGCCCTTATTGCAAGTCTAAAACCTCATCACACTCTTACTGTTTTTAAGCCTTCAACAAAATGTTTTTCCATTCAGCAGTTTGCAAAAGTAAACTTCGTTTGAACAATCCTCAAGTGCTCTGATTGCAAATAAAAGTTAAATGCACTAACAAAAATAATTGCTAGGCATGTGGGGTTGTACATTTAGGTATCCATAATTCACTAACAGTATATGCCAATACACAGCATTATCTGGATTTCCAGTGATTGCATTAGCATAAAAGCATGTTAGAATTTATCCTGTGGTACTAACAATTAAATATATATAAGTATGAAATATTAAGATCCAGCATTTTGGAGGCAAGTGAAACTACTGTCTGTAAAATGTTCCTGCGTATTTTGAAGGTACACTCCAGTATCTTCGCATGACAATCAGCATTCGCACCATTGGGTCCAAACATTACAAAAATGTCAATGTTTTATGCAAAGAGGAGCTATATTAAGCTAAAAAAAATTGCTGATGAGAGAAGTGTCTTCTGATGTCCTCTGAGCTATTTACAGGCAGCATCTCCCTTTGTTCGTGGCACAGCCAGGCCTCTGTGCAATCTGTATCTCCATGTTTGACAAGAGTGGAAATGTTAGCCAGAAAGGATTATGTGTGCGATTAAAACCTCCATTTTTGAAAATTTTACCTACAGGAAACGTTTTTCCACACCAATAATTTGAACATTTTAGTATTTTGTAATAAAAGGATTTTTGTAATCCGTTTAGAAGGGGAATAATAATTTATGTTGAATGACTTCTTGAAGTTTTATCCCAAATGCTCCCTGTGTACTTAGGGATGAGTTGGAAGAGAGGATGGAGACAAGTTAAGCTGTAGGACCTTCGAGGCAAAGGGAAGCAGTTTGTATTTCATGGGGGCAAGGAAGAAGGCTCAGAAGGTGAGATTTTGGCCTGGCCAGAGTGGGGAACTGGGAGGGCAGCCACTTGTGCAGCTGCAGTGAGAGACTCGTGGCATTTTGGCCAGACCTTCCAAAGCCCACCCTGTGGGGTAGCCAGGGATAAGGATGTCCCACTGATGGTCCAAGCTGACATCTGCCATGTGTCCTAGAAGGGCACAGGACAGTCCAAGCACAGCCTCTGACCACAAGCCCAGCACTTCTGGGCTCTCACTGTTCCCTTTTGGCCCTCAGTGCTAAAATAATGTCACAGGGCTTGGTAAAGGCTTGGGAGTAAACTCATCACTGGTGAGAATTGAAGCATGATCCTGTAGCCACAGACAAGAGTTTTCCATGGATTGTCTTAGCTGTTTCCCAGAGATTAAACCCCTTAAGGGATGATCATGTGCATCCTGAATACCCCATTATTTGTATCACCAACTGTGAGGCTTGTTCAGAGCTTGCCCCACTCTGGTAAAGCCAAGAGAGGCACAAAACATGTGTTTACTTCTCAAGAGAAACTTCAGAGAAGCTCCTAGAGTGATGGGCTCTGATTCCAGCTGTGCTAGGGTGCCCAACAGAGCTCAGTATCATGGGGTCCACCTGGTTTTGGTTCTGCTTTTCCATTGTTTTTTCTGACAGAAGAGGGATGTGGCAATGCTGTCTCCTTGCTCCGTCCAGCAGTCCCCTGGTGGTGCCCATTTTCCCAGAGCACAAGGCTTCCCTGCTCTGTTGGAGAAGCAGCAGCCCCTCCAGGATGCCTCTGTCAAGAGGAAAGAGCTTCCACCAGATTTAAGGGGTTTGAGTTAGGTCCAGCTGTGCACTGAAACTGGTTGGTGCTCGCTTAAATAACACAGAGGCCCAAGCAATAAACCCAGGAAAAGTAAAATTAAAGACCTTGCTTCAATGCTGTCTTGTAAGGACATAAGAATTTCTGTGCAGAGAAATAAATCTGGTTAGCTTAACAAGCACTGTCCCTACCCATTTATTTCCAATCCATCTTCATCCCTTCATCCTCCAGCTTTTCCTTTTACATCCTGCAGTATTTGCCCATCTCTTTATCCACTTTCCCTGATTTTTTCAGTGGCCTTGTTTGCCCACACCATGTGTTTGCCATCTCCCAGTTGCAGTAATTCCAGCTCCACTCTTTGACTGCTTATAATTTCTTGCTTTGTAGATTGTCTCCTCTATTTTCATTCGAACTCCTGACTTGTGTGAAGTTATCAGCCTCACTGCACTTAATTTCAAATTAATTTGATTGGGTCACCTCAATTTTTTTTCTGTAATGATAATGAACTCAACCTATTTAGCCTTTCTCCGTTATGAATAACCTTAACAAAAACTGCAG